CAACCCACCGCTCCCACACCCTCCTCCCGATTCTTTCTTCCTTCAACTCCCTATTTCTCGCCCTCAAAACAAGCTTTCGGGTTTTGAATGAAAGCATGTTGAAAAAGGCACATTTCTGTTGGGTAGCACATGCATTTCGTTGAATTATTTCGTCCATCAAACGCCAATGCTTTCAAGACGGAAAGGATTCATAACATGAAGGACAAATCCACTTTTTGTGCACTATAAGGAAGTCAATCAAGCTTCTGCCAGAGCTCATAAACAGGCTCGGATGAGTAATACAGCATAGGTGACAAATCACATCAAATTGGTGAATATGGGGCTGAACCAGGAGACTATTGAAAGACGCAGTTTCCAAACCTCCACGAAGAAATGAATCCTTTCCGTTGCATTTTTGGTATTCACAGATTACGCACGCAGCTTTCAAATTGACTACTCCTGAAAACCCTCCATTCCTTAAAGTAACCCATAGTCAAGGGAGCCCAAAAAACAGACAGTTATGCTGTTGCAGTGCGTGACCGGAGTAACATTACACTGAGTTTACCGTTCCCGCAGTGATTGAGTAAACATTAACGAATCAACCGAATGAGCTCGTATCAACTTCGATTTCTAGAGACGGTTTCTCTCACTTGGAGAGAGCATAGATACTCTTGTAGCTAATTTTTTTTTCACAAGTTTTACAATAGTTTGACGCCTGATTTAAGTCCCTTTTGGGTTTTTATAGCTTAGGATATAGGAGCCACTGCTACGGGATCCCCCCTCCCCTCCAACCCATTTAACTCCTTAACTCCCTTTTACAGAGGTTGCGTCGTTTGCAGGGGTATTCATCCCATAGAATGGACCGAGGGATCTGGCTTACAGCCATTCATCTGCCTCCCTTCAAACGATTCCAACCCCAGCAAATCAAACCAATAAAATTCATGAGTCTCACAAGCGGAATTCGATCCTCGGACCTAGCACAGGCTAGTAAACCCGTTTGGCAATGCATCAACCCCGCTTAATATGAATGCTGAGCTCGTTAATCTTCTTCCTAGCGGACCGAGCCCAATCAACACCTCCTTTCAAATCAACAGAAAACTGGATGATCTTAAAAAGAACTCTTCTGCTCTTCCGTTTTCTGTTCGTCTTAACTAGCTATGACTTCTGGGAAATTAGCCTCCACTCAACTAAATGGCCTTTAAGGTCGTTCTGTTGATTCCAGTATTAGATAGGGCGGCCACTTACTTTCATGTGTCATATCGCTAGAGATAAGAAATTGTGCTCTGTAACCACTTGGAAGGGACATTTATTGTCAACTGAGGATACCACTGACGAAAATTACCTTCCAAAAATCTCTAGAACCTGGTGAAATTTGCCTTTTTCAATTGTTATATTGCATACATAATGTATTTACATATTATGTGAAGATTTCTATTTCAATTTATATTTTACATTCTCGATGCGAAAGTATGATTGATTTTCGTGAATTATCAAGGCATATTACTAATATATTGAAAACTAGAACTTCATATTGTGCCGTTTTGTGGAAATTTGTTCTCCCACCTCATTTTTTCTTCAACAAACTTCACTTTGTTTCTTTTCCATGCCATGTTTTTATACTCAAACGTTCCCTGGGATCCCTAGGCTTGACGGCCCTATTTCGTTCGGAACCCAACATTTACTTAGCCAAATCCCTAGCAACTTGATCAATAATTTCGTTAATAGGAAATTAAGCAACAACACTCCCTTTTCCAGAGGTCAGATGGAATTACTAGTCCTACAACATAGTCGAAGTCGTCCCGTTGTCGTAGAAATTGTCGCCTACCGATCGCCCAGCATTAAGTAGCTACAATATGTATGGATGAGTATCCTTCTATGCTTCCAAATCAATCATCTCCATGGATTCCTTTCAGTTATAACTGAGAAAGCTTACTGTGGTAGTAGCACCTCACACTGTCCCTTTTTCTGGAAGACGTCTCATCAGAAAAAACTTTTCCGGACAGTCTCCAGGAGGTAGGCAGTATGAAGCTCGCTACCACAAACATAGTCCTCATTTTCTAAGCAGAAGCTCATTGGACCAGACAACCTTCCCATTTCCATGTTTATCTGTTTTGGGCTCAGACTTTGGATGAAAAATGGACAGGCTATAAACTCAACCATGTTATTATTGTAAAGTCTGAAGAGCATTCGAAAACTAAGAAATGAAGGACATAAACGCCACGCCCACAACGAAACAGAACCCATCGAAGGCAACCCTTTTCACGGTCATTGAAGGGTTCCTAGTGCAAAGAACGATTCATCGCTGGCTAATTGTCTATTCATATACTCCAAATAATGCCAACATCGTTTCAGTGTTGACCCGGTCGACTCGACTTTCGTTTCCTGAAAATCCTCTACAAACCGGTTGATTATCCCCACTCCGTGTAGCATGAATTTCCATGCTGATGAAATTGAACGCAAACAAAACTTTTTCAACGATCAACCTTTAAAGTCGTTCTTATCTTATCACTCTAAAGGCAACTGCTTTTCAGCCAACATCTTTGCTTTCGTTTTGCCATTCGCTCGAAATCTCCGATATCATGGGTTGGGTTTGAACATTCACAAGCAAAATCGTTCTTGGTAACTAGTAAAAGCAGCAGTGTGAACTTTATCACTAATTTTTCTCTCATTCTCAATTAGAATTCGCCATTTTCCAGATTTTCATCAATTTTTTCTCTTTAACAGTAAAAACTCGCGAACTTTCCAGTTTTTCAAAACTTTTTTCTCCTTCTCAATTAAATCTCGTCGTGATTACGGTGTCAGAGCCATTTGTAGCAGAACGAGCGAATAGAAAATACAAATTTAATTCGTCGAAATATTAAATTTTGTTGAGAGTCCAATTCCACACTCTCCGGAGGCCTCAAAGAAACAAACAACCCTCTACTATCAGTGCACCTTCGGAGGTAAAAAAATTAGTAATCCTATTAACTTCCCTGCCATTCACCTGTCCGTTGGGAGAGCCATGGACGAACATACTTTCATTTGAAAAGTCTGAGCCCTCAGTAGGTCTTGATTCGATGCACTTGATGGCACCACGTTTATTTGGAAGCCACCCACGCTATAGAGGCAGACTACATACTACTACTTACAAAAACGGCGAGTTATGAGCAGGGCGTTCAGTTTCGGACGGAACTCGAACCCGTACATGTGACCAAATACCCCAAGTGTGGGATCGAGCCCAGTCCGAGCTTAACGTTCCTCTCACAACTCGCCATCCTTTTAAGACCTTTCTATCATGTCTGTGGTGAGAAAACACCAGTTAGCAATAACAAAATCACCAAATCAAAGTTAATACTACCGTTTTGCTCAGGTTCCGTTCACGGGGTTTGGACCATCGAGAAACATTTCCGCTCTAAAATAATACTTCTTTTTTATTCATTCCACCGGTACCATCCCGAGCCTACCTATTCATTAGTTTTTGTATGCGTGTTTTTGAATGCTGTGATCGGTCTGTAAACAAATAAATAACTGCCAATGGCTTTTAAAACTTCCAAAAGGGAAAAACCTGTTCGCAGTTCACTTGCAGACGACCTGTGTAAAGCATTATCGCTCTAAGATCTCACTCTTTCTTTCTTTTTTCGTCAATCAATCGTGTTTTAGTCATTCTATTTTTCAGTAAACGTTCGAAACGTTGATTGCTCCGTCAACAAATAAACAGAAGGGGTAAATAAATAAATAAATGTCAGTGCCCATTACAACGTCAAAAGGGGGAAACTGGGCAGTTCATATGGTTACGCCTTCTATGGTTTTCTTTTTATTCGCTTTTTCCTTCTTAAGGAACCTTCTCTTTATGATTTCACCGCATTTCGCTTCAGAATGAACCTAAACGGGGGCACCTTCCCAGGCTAATTTACATTGGTTTTTCTATATTATTATCGATCTGTAATTTACCAAAAATGCTATTTATTATCGAAAAATGCTGTTTATCTCACAAAAGAAAACATTTCATTGTATTTATTCAGTGAGGTGGCCATGATTAGGTCACTAATGGGACATTCATATTGACGACGGTGTCAATTCACAAATAGCATTCTACCTACACTGACTCAAAACCCATTTAAAGTCAAGAGCCATAAACAATTTTTTGTGGAATTTTCCTAGCCGAAGAGAACGTCTCAAATAAAGACTGTGAACGATATCAGACGCGACCACCGGTACCACCCCGTTCCCGAAAAAAAAAGACGAAGAAGGTGTAAAAAGACAAAACTGATTAGGGAATGATAGGAACAACTGATAATGCTACTTTCTGTTTCCCTGTTGCCCATATTTGTACACAGAAACAGCTTTGAATTATTTTCTTTGACGGACACTTCCATATTGAATTCGTGTTGGCGATACTATTTGTTCTACCGTTCTCCGTTTTCTTGGACCGCCTACTAGAGGACGAGACACACTGTCGTTTGGCCCGAGTTCGCCATTTTCATTGATTTTGAAAGCTTTTGTCAAATACGAGTAGAGCGACACGGTATCTTTGTCTCTTGGAAGTAAACATTGTTTCTGCAAATAGTATGTTTGCCTTCGCCAACAAAGACCACTTCCCGTCTGGAATCTGGCACCAAGCGAAATTTTTCTTGGAAACACTCCAATGCCAATTCATCTCGGGACGATCCTAGTAGTTTTACTGCCACGGTTTCTCCTGACCAGTTTCCTTTCACATGAGACAACTCACTCAATACGGAGTTGCCTTAAAACGGACACGCAGCGGCAGAACTGTTTTGTCTGCCCCTTCAACAAACGTAACTGGCTTACAAAAAATCGTGGCCCATTGCTCAAGTGGACCTGCTCGTTTTAAACTTTCCATGGTTGATCTCCTTCAAGGTCATTTTGAGTCTTTACAATTTTTCCATGTGCTCTATTTCACGTCCGTTCACTTGACATTTGATAAGGACGATAAATTTCCCTCAATGCACGTTCTACGCTATCAATTTCACTTTACACATCGAAATATAATAAAATACTCAGAAGATCCCATTTCAGACATTATGGTATTGAATGAAAAACGAGTACTGACCGTCGTCTCAGGAGCTTCACGAGGCATCGGCAAGGAAATTGCTATTCAAGTGTCGAAACGGGTCGCACCGAATTCAGGTGATTGGCTACCATATCACTACATTTCCTTTTGATTCTAAAAAAANCCAATTTTGTAGAGATTTCCATATATATAAACTATTATCTGTGAAGTGAGCCGGACTTTCTTTGACTTTTTCTGATGCAAACATACAAAATGAATCTACCGCGGGCTCACTTTCCTTTTTCGGTGGAATGATTCCGATTAGGTCACATTTACCTCCGCCAATTCGAGGCTGGCAACCATAAATGACCCCTGTCATGTTTTTTCGGGTCTCCGCTGAAATGAAGTTCTTCGCAACTGGAGCAAAAACCCAGATGATTCCCGTGCGAAGCACCTTTGCTCAGTGATACGCTCCTTTTTGCTTGGAACTCCTCGAAGCAAAAGTGAGATGATGTGGTAACATATTGGTAGCCTCTGCAACCACAGTGCTCCGAGAGATGAAACGAAGGTGATGATGTCCACGATAGTAAGCACTGACCGTAGGTAAGATGGGAGTGAAGGTTATGAGGATAAAGCCATTCCGCTCAAATTCAGCTTGAGTTCAGTTAAGTGACTCTAGCCCAGACACGAGAACATACTGGGGGCAATGCAAACAGCGCGGATTAACACCAAGGAGAAAAAAGTAGCCTGCAGTTAACTTTTCTGCACACATGATCTTAAACACGAACTACCAATTATTATGTACTATTATCATCTTTATCATAAGGAGTTATGAGTTTACAAATCTCAAATAACGCCTGAAATTTGTAAAATTGCTATAATTCCCTTTCAGTGTTCCTACTTACTGCCCGTAATGAAGCTACATTATTACAAATCAAACAGGGTATTCTCAACAGGTACGCTCTTCAGCCTTTTTTTTCGATTACTTACCCTATTCCTTTTTGATTATTACATTCATATCTGTTTTGTAAATAGAAATTATGAAATATTAACAAGTTCTGTTTTGCATATATTAAAGCGTTGTCTGCAATGTTTTCAGCTCAGAAAAAGCTCAAGTATGGATAGTTGTCTGTGATATGGGATCGTTTAACGACGATGCTATCAACACCTTTACAGAGGTTCTCGAGGAAATCAAAGGTGGGTCCCTACTGCGCTCTGGACTTCGAGAAACTATGCCAAAAATGCCCTTTCAAGATCTTAGAAAGCTCTCATACCATAGAGATAATGGCAAAAAACAAGCCTAGAGCTAAAGGGTTTCCTCTACGACTGCAAAACTCCAAACCTCAGCCGAGATCCTCTCTTTAGAATCGTGGTATATTCAAGCAAATTGCCTATACACTGACCTGGGGTGGCCAGCCCACGTTAGACTAACACTTTTACCCCCTTCCCCCCCTCCCTCTCCTGACCTACTACCTATTAACCTATCCCGAAGGACTGGCCTGGGTGGGTACTTATCCGGTATTCAATTCCCGGACCATGCGTGTGTAGTGGGTTAGCTGGCATCCCCTGGGAAATATACTCAACTTTTTGTCACCATGCACCTACTATGGTCGGTGGGAACCTATCGCTAATCCCTATCTCTTGTTATACCTTCTAGTGAACGCCACTGCATTCAGGATACCGTAAGCATTCCAGAAGGTACAATGAACAAATATTTGATGTTTACACGTTTTGTTTTTCAGGAACGGGTCCATTTGATAGCGCCTTCATATTCCATAATTGCGGTACTGTTGGTGATGTATCAAAACGATGTACCGAATTAAGTAATCCAGATCAATGGCACAATTTTCTCAGTGTGAATCTCGTCGCAATGGTACAATTCAATAATTTATTATTGAAAACCATCACACAAGAGGTACCATAATCTTAACTTCTGGGCGAGTACGCTCACTTGAAGGATTTCTAAAGCTTGCACACTCAGGTTGCCAAAGAACGATTCATCGTAAATATCACATCTTTAGTTGCTATCCAAGGTTTCCCGTCTTTAACACAGGTACGCTATTGCACCATCGGATTTTAAAATCTGGTTTTACTTTTCGGAAGATAATCCAAATTCAAGTAAACTTGTTCATTTCCTTCTTCCTCCCATGAAACCTTAGAGGACAACTATTTCAACGAAGGCTTCTCTCTTTGTAGAAAAAGCTATTGGGAGCGCGTTACTGCAGAGTAACCCAGAGAATGGGAAAGTGCATAGGGTAGTTATTCGATGAAAAACAGGGCAAACGACCCTACCACCACATTCCAGCTTCTCCCGTCTAAAGCTTTTATGTCATATGTGATGTGATGATGGTCATCGCATAGCTAACAGCCGACATTGGGAATGAGTTGAGTTTTCGACGGAGAAAGCACAGGGAGAGAAATGGGAAACTGCCGCGATACCTTGGCGAATTCAGAGTAAATTTCCAAGAAGCGGATGGAAAAGTGAGGGATAAACAATTAAAAGCTAGGGGTTGAATGGTCAATCAATGATGCGCCACGCTAGCGACTCCACCGTGGGTACAGTAGAAGTCTTCGAATACGTGCCGCCTTAACAACTCGGTAATGGCCCGAAACTAAAGTTTATGTTTCCTCAAATTGATATAGCTCTATCAGATGGAAGGTTGTTCCTGACAGCCAACATCTTCCTTGCCTCTTGTCTACAAGGACATATCAAATAGAGGAAAGCAGAAAACCTATCGAGTTTTCAGTACACAGGTCGGCCATTACTAGGTACCTGACTTCCTCCAAGCGATAGGTATTTGATGAAAGACCAGGCTTACTATTACGGGTCATTGCATAGACGCATATTCAATCGGACCCTTGTCTACCGAAGACGACGTCCATCAATTTTGCTGGGCTCCCCCAAGAAATCTTCGTCGCATGATACGACGGCTTCTGAACTACAGTTAGGACTGCTATGCCAGATAGCATTTTGTTTGCCGAGAAACATGTACTATGAACATCCTTCCTAACAATTTTGCTCTTCTATTGCACCACATCGTCAAACACTTCTTGAACGGTTTCTCCGTCGAATTTTTTCCAACTTGGCGATCCCTTGACATCAGCAGAAACATATGGGAGAGTCGGAAAAGTATCTTTAGGCACTCGTTTTCCCTGCAGCGTTATGAACTCGGGGACCCGTTGTTACTGTTGGCTGTCATCCCAATCTTCTACCTACGACATCATCTGCCCTGACCTCGGTCTCGGCAAAGTCCAGCTCGATCAAGTCTTACCAACTCTTCTTTAGACTCCGCTATCGTTCTCCTGAAGCTTTGTGGCCTATAGCTATCCATATGGAGTGACATGCGCCATACCATCGCTAGCGCTGCTCTCTCATTTTCAGCTGAGTGAGAGATGATTGCAAAATTACTGGACGCCCTCGTTTCTGATCAACCCAGTCGTGTTCAACCGCAGACTCATCTCAACATCCTCAACTCAGTGGAGTGAAACTGTCTTTCATGATTCTTGCTGTCGGATAAGCACTCGCTGCCATAGAGCACCGTTGGATTGACCAGCGCCCGGAATACCTTTCCTATTAGCGTGGTGAACACCTTCGGAAATACCCGCAGAGCGGTATGGATGCAGTGGCAGCTAGCCAACTGGTACCCCCTATAGATACCATTTGGCTAGCTGCCACTGCATCCATACCGTTAATCTTGCATAAACAATCACGTCTTTGTTATTAACAGCGGCAGGTCGCTTAGGTGACTCTATGCAGAGAAAAGTTGGGTAAGAGGCAAACCATCTCGCAGAGTGCACAACACACACTAGACTGATTGTGAGTTCAATCCCGACTGATGTTAATGATACTGATCATTCTAACTCTGCCAATCTCATGCTACGACATAATATTCATAATCATATGAAATATATTGGCAACTCTAAGAAAATTTGCTGAACATAAATTATTGTATTCCTACACCGCATTCTTACAGTACTCTGTGGGTAAAGCGGCTCGAGAAGCATTTTTCCGTGGTTTGGCAGTTGAAGACGATTCAATAAAAGTATTCAACTATGCGCCAGGTCCTGTCGAGACAGCAATGCACGACGTGATTGCAAAGCAGTGAGTTTACGCCATGAAGTTGCTATGCATCTGGTATTGTATAATGGTTGTTCAGATCGTTCGACGAAGGTATACGAGCTGTATTCTCACAGAATACCTCACTTACCCATGATGCTCACCGTGCATGCTTAACAACAACACAAACAGTCGAGAAAATGCTCAAACATCTTGAAGAGAACAAATTCCAAAGTGGCGCTCGAATCGATTACTTTGATGATGAAATGTGATATAAAATATTCGTTTAATTTGTTTTGCAACCATATTATTCTTTGCTAAGGCAGAGGAGCATGTACCCCTTGGACGATGGGTACATGCTCCTCTGACTATACCTTAATCTCAGGCCGTTGGCTAAAAAAAATTGGAGCCATTTCTTCTGGGAAGAAAAACGATCCCTTTTGTACATTGGTAGATCGTCGTAAGTAGATTGCACAGGCCAAATACACATTCAAATTACTACGATACTGAATGAAAGTCGAATGCATCGGCGCACACCGAAACGAAATCAATCGGCAGCTTAACAACTTTAAATTTATTTCTGAGGGCTGCGTAACGGCCGCTACGCTACCTCTAATTGTAGACCAGTCAATTCAGAAGCCAAGGAATTACATTATTTTTATCGCTGACGAAAAAATCCTGAGATGACGGACATTGACATTAACAAAACCAGTCACAGCCCACAAAGCGACAGATCTTTCAAGCGAATGCGGCAATCAACAACAACAAATACAAACGAAAAGGGATAAATTTTGTAGGTTTCAAAACATACAAGTTGACTACACCAGAAGATTCCAAAATGAAGAAAACCCGTAGTACTACTGGGAGACAGCAGAAACCCTAAGCAGTCTGGATCACGTCGTTATACTCATATAACAACTGATTAGGCGAATACCCATGCGCAACCAAGACGTCGCCATTTTTCCATTCTTTGGCATCTATGGGACGAGTCCAGAACACAAAAGCCTCATTATGTCTCGGATGAATTTGCAATAGATAGGCCAGGATTCCAGCGTAGACATCATCGAATGGATAAATCTGAATATCTCAATCTCCACCTCTGTTTTTCCAATCAGTCTTGTTTCAAAGTCGAAAGCGGCTTGACGTGGGACATGAACATAGGAGACTACAAATACACCAAACACAATGCTCGATACCTTCCCTCCCTACAAGTTGCTTCTTTTGTGTTCAACTGATGTACGGGCGAAAGAGGGTTAGGAGTAAGCTAACACCCACTACCGGCGAGGTGCCTTAGACCAGGCCCCTCTCAGATCAACCAAGTCTTACATGATTTCTGATTTACAGCCACTATTTGAAATTTCTGAATTCACTATCTTCTATACTATATAAAACTGAAAGGGTAAAGAATTTGACGCCGATCAATTCCTTTGGGGTGCGCCAACGCATCTGACTTCCATTCAGAATCGTTGTACGCTTACATGGTATTTGCAATGACATGCGCTGGCTAGCCGGTGTACAATTCAATGCTTCTATGCTTCTATCCTCCTAGACGCGTGCGCTGCCAATTAACCAACATCAGAAGGATGAAAGGCTTGGTTGACTTAGGCGCGCGTCAATCCGCGATATGATCGAGGACCTTGCGTGTGATAGCGCAGTATTTAGACTACATCATTTCCGCATGTTACTATATGGTACTGTTCTTATATGTCGTATATATATATATATATATATATATATATATATATACGACATATAAGAACAGTACCATATAGTAACATGCGGAAATGATGTAGTCTAAATANNNNTTATATATATATATATATATATATATATATCTTCTTATAGATAATTAATGAAAAGTCCACAAAGCTTTTCTTCTCTTTTTCCATACATTTGGTACCACCTTTTCATTACACATGGTTATATTCTCCAATGGGAACTACGGTCATTTTCCGTATCAAGATTTCCATTCAAAAATTACTTTGAAATGATGTAGTGCAATGGAAATCAGACCTACCTCAACTAATTGTAACGCATGATAAAAATGAGCAACAGTATTGTGCGACATCAAAACAGCTCCAGCTGATATATACGGTGGATATCGATCAAAGGGATACATTTCCAAAGATGTCTGAATAAGAAATGGTAATAGCTCAAAAACTTGCGAAATGGCTAGCTAAAGACTTACATAGTGTTTATGAAAGCGGAATCGAAACGGCGTAGTGTTGAACATCCATCCCTCATACAGCTGAAAGTAAAGATAAAGGTTAAGTAAAGCAACCGGCACAGACTCAGACTAACAGACTAACAGGACCAAGTACTGCCACTTAACGCTCTTTGCTTGTTTTTATGAGCATTTGTAAACCCTTAACGTCAAATTCGTCCGATTTATTCGATGAACAATGAATTTTATAATCCTTTTATTTTGCCAACTTAATCAAAGCTATTGCGCTGAGCGAAATTCATTATTCTGTGTTTGATGGAACGAGCCACAGTGTTTTCCAAACTGATACCCGCATGTCTAAGAGGAATGGGTACATTTTAGAAGAAGGATGTATACAGCAGCACTATCGAACTCCAAATAAGGCTAGTAGGACAAAGGGAAGCTCTTCCGCCTACGGAAAAATCGTTTAGAACAAAAGAGACAGGTAGTGAGAAAAGTGGGAACACTTCAAAAGAGAATTCTGGTCAAGATGGAGTTTTGAACGCATGGGATCGAAACGAGCGATAAAGATGTTTTCCTTGAACCTCCTAAAAGAAAACTTTTACCGCTCATTTCAAACCGATATCGTGCTTTCTTTGAACAGTACTAGCCTCCAAAGGTTCCGTCACAACGGGGAATTCGCCTAAAACTTTATCCAAGCTACTTCTATTCGAAGCTCAATTGCGGCTGCAACAGTAAGCTGCGGCAATGCGCGATGGCGCCTCTGAACCCCTGAGGTGGTACCTTTTACTAACTAATAGCTACAAGTAATAGTAATGCGAGTAATTAGGGTTATTCTGAATAAGAATGTATCCAACTGGATTCCATTGATGTCTAATATATCCACTGAATTCAAGAAATTCGATTATGTGAGCTCAACCCCCTTACCGAGTTGTAAATAGGACAATACATCGGCTGCGAATAAACCAAAAACGGTTGCCCGTAAGCTAATTGCTCACACATAACGTACAGTACGAACATTCAATTACTCCGTTTGTAAAAAGCCAAACCTGCAGTAAACGATTTTCATCAGAAATATGTCGAAGAAGACCTCTAACATTCACCATATAGTCGTCGTCAACAAGGAGCAAAAAATCAGGAGATTGGCATCCGTTTCCGGGTTCAAACCCAAATATTATGGAATGAATGAACTGAAAAATGATATGCATTTGCTACTCTAGTAACATTACCAAAGTTTGGAGGCCCATAAGGGAGAGAAGAAAATTACCCACTTTTCGTGTATTGTTCCTGTAGGAATCGATCAAATCGACATACAGTATGTCATCATGTTTATCGACTTCCTCTTGAACTAGCTCCCGCCCATTATCTTCCACACCTTGTCCAACAACAAACAATGTCTGCACATACTCGAAGCGCCTCCGCGCACCCCAGGTCTTACGTATAGCATTACGCTGCTGAAACTTCACTTTTTTACAATAGAAGACGTCAGAACTGACTATTTTCAAACAATCGCTTCTCTATGGGCAAAGCTCCCATAACGTAAAATTTCTTTTTTTGATATAGGCCAAGGTGTATGACCGCGATCATCACGGTGAAACCATACACTCTTGAACAACCCGACGGGCCTTTGACCGATATAATGCTTAGTAGGACTTCGTTATTCGAATCATGCTTCATGCCCCACCACTATGAAACAGTTATGCTGAGAAAAATAGAAGAAAAGAGTCTCACTTACGACTGGCAAAATGCCAGACCGAGCAGAGAAGGTTAATCCAAAACAACTAAGTTGCTCCGACACTAGTCGCGCAGGCCGTGACCTACTATCGGAACGAAGACCGCGATGACACCTCTTGGTCAATATTCACAATGTCAAGAAACACAGATTGAATTGATCACTTGGTGTGATTCCAGAAATAAAAATACACTTGAAAAACGATTAAAACGAACACACCTCCACATTAGCTACGGCCGACTTGACTATTATAAGCAGTTTCAGTGCTTTGCTTGCAGACTGGCAACTGGGGATAGCAATATTGCGGAATGATTTCACATCATTTTCAGCTGTAACTCTTGCTGGCTTACCTCCTATAGCTCGACGAGTCTGAAAAGCAGCTATTATTCCGAGCACTCGAAAAAGAAAAAAAAACAAGAATATTACTGCAAAAAAATGAAAAGATAGAAGAAGAAAAAGAAAAGAAAAGAAGAAAGAAAAGAAAAAACCCCTACCTCAACTAGCACATTAATATCGTATGGAGGCCACTGGAAATTGTCGAAACTTGTTTCACGTAAATGATCGAATAAGCCGCATATCCATAGCAATGAAATACAGGCGATCACGAAAAACGAAGATTTCCGATATGCAAGCCATTTCACCCGTCGAGTTATTGACATTCACTGTACGCCTGAATAGTCAAATAAACAGTTTTCGAATGGTGTTTTGGGACCACGAGCCAAAATTTGAGCAATTGGAATCGGTTACGATTTAACAGAAAAATAGGTGATAAAATTAGGCTTGTATGGAAGAAAATGGAATTCATGAGAATGGTTGGACTGATGAAGGTCTAATTAAGATTGATGGTACACTTATCAAGGAGACCTCATCTTACGTTTACCTCGAGCGTTCCATGAATATGGACTGCACATGAGGGAGAACTGGCGAGACGGCAGAAAGCAGCATGGCAGCCTTCAGACCTCTGAAAAAGGTCGCCAACCATCTGGCTGACCCGGAACTTCGCGCTAATCTGTTCGATTTCACCGTTCTTCCTGTGCTCTGTTATGGGCCGGAGACTTGGGCGACCAGTGCATCCAAGTCAAGGGCTTTAGCACAATTCACAGAGCGCTCGAGTGATGTATTTTGAGATTCAAGCGGCTCACTCAAAGTCGAGCCGGACTCCGCAGCTATGCGTCTAATGGCTCGACTTCCCGATCCGGTGGAATAAATGGGGCTCCCGTAGGATCTTCACAATCTAATGGTACGTCGGCTGCGAGATGGGAGATGTGCTCATTGAAACAGCTGCGGGAGCAGCTAAACGACTGTTCACACCGCCATCTTCGTCGAATACTAAATCTTCGGAATGGCGATCACGGAAGACAGAAGCGAATGGTTTGTAGCTGGTGCTCGCACATCAGTTTAAAGAGCCGTATAAATATAACAAAGTATAATATGGAGGACAAGAAGAAGCTACAGCAAAGTAATCAATATTCCTCCTACAGAACTTGGAGAATAGGTTTCCATCAAGTAGCAACGCTAACATACGCCCGATTCGATGGCCACGTCCTGGATCGACACCCCTCCGAGTCAACTGAACCTTTCCTCCCTCGAGACCAGCAAATCAGCAACAACTTCGATAGGGAGGATTAGCATACTGACTTCTACATAGTCTGGTTTCTGAGAGGCTTGTATAGCCCGTAAAAGATGCTACGATTTCAAACGGGAATTAAATTCATAAGTGCATACCGAGAGTGATTGGGCAACCCCCAAATATTTCACCGTTTATTCTCCTTTTATTGTAAATTTTTTGCTTTGTGCCCTTTTGTAGCGCTATCCCTCCCTTGTCTCAATTTCCAACTGTGAGCAGCCGACTGCTAACCGATAAAGGTTGTCTGGTGCCACTACTAAGTTGCTCATTGGTATTCAGAAGGATGGTGGCGAAGAAAAAGCACGCACGTTACAAGTACTGTTCAGAACATTATGCTATGAAGGACTGACTTATAGGAAGGCATAACTGTTAGGTTTTGTGGTTACCTGTGTTTACTCTCAAATTAACGCTATCAAAAGAAAGAGGAAGGGAAGTTCTCGATAGACTGCGTAACCTAGGCGACGACGGACTCAAGACGTACTAGGACGACGCCTCCGCAGCAGCTTCGGAATGACATTTAAATAAAAGACTAACGATCATACTAAACACCACTGAACAGAATAGTCGCTTCATATCGCCCAGGCTACTATTTGCAAAGAAATGATTGCATAAGCTATACTTACACTTGATTCCAATCAACTAGGGCTTACAAAAAACTAGAGTACATTCTAATGCTTCTTTGACGCTTCCAAAACGAATCGCTTCAAGTAACTCAAAGACCAAGACCTTGACTTGGAAGATTAGCTGACAAACGCCCTAGCTGAACAACGGAAAAGAGGAACGAGAAACAAAAGTCGCAAGAGAATAGGAAGGATCAGAAAGTAACACCATACCCAACTCAACTCGGAGATGTAGGATTCATCTCCAACGAGAACGTTTCTATTGGAATCCCTGTCGACAGATTATAATCTCAACACCTTCCCGTACACCGCAGCTTCAACCAGCAAACGATATGATTTCATAAAATATCCTACCAGACGAAAGAGCTGGCACAATATGGAATAAAAACGAAAGGAAAATCTTTATAAACCTTTCCATTATTAAGCAACAAACAGACAAACAGATGAAGTGTATATGTACACAAATTTCGATTTCAAAGAGGACATGCAGCATCTGCCCAACTGCCTAACCGCAAACCACGTTGTTCCCTCGACATTTTTAACTTGGACCAAATTCGGGTTCCAAGTGACGAAAAGTACTACCAGCAAACGTCAAGACATAAATTATTACCTGAATCAACAAAAAAAAATCACAAATGCTCTGTACTGAAAGAGACACAATGATATATGCGACAATTGTACATACAATCACTCTATTACGGTCAAAGAATCACTCATACAAAGACTGCAAATAGCTAGTTATCTAGGTAACTTTCACTGCACTTTGCGCCTTTATTGAATCCGGTGTTGTTGAAACGACTGGTGAATTCGGCTCGACTTCTTCCTCTTCCTCCGTTAACGGTACCGGATCCGATACCAATTGCCAATTACGCCAACCAACCAGTTCTAAACGAAATACAATTTTGTAAGTACTGGTCAGGAACATAGAGGGTGGGGTCTTCGAAAGAGGATGAAATCAACAAAAGCATCCTGGTGGAAAATCAAAGAGAAGAAATCAAAGAACGCAAAAAATTCTCCAACGGAACAAGTCCAGATGGAGAAGAAGTCTAGATGGTTATTTCCAAAGGAAATTGACTGGCATTCTGCTCATTACCTAGGCCTTTTATCTAACTATGACAACGAGGCTGGTATTCAAATATGCTTCAGAACCTTTTTTCATATATATGCACTTATCTGTAAATCAAGCAGGCTGTGTTACTAGCAGGTTTTTTTGTTCGACCGAGGTCCAACAGAAGTTAATTAGGCAACTATACGCCTCTACCTACTTGTTTCCTGCCTTATATTGCTCCAGATAGGATCAATCAAGAAACTAACCACTATCCATCAGTTCGATTGAATTCAAAAACTGATTTCCATTGAATCCACCAATTGCATAGATTGCATTACCGGCTGTTACTACCGCATGCGTATTTGCCCTGAAATTCTCAAATTAATTGCTATTCAACTATGTTGTACTAGTTAAGTAGATCTTCGTTTACTTAATCTACTGCTCAAATTTCCGAAACACTAAACCGCCTAACCGACTAGCATTATCGTTTGATTCTTCAAATTAGGCCAATTAGAAATCTGACTTTTTCTTCCACTAAGTGAGATTTTGCCTAAGAATGAGGTCGCCGTATACCGAACCATACCAAGTTATTCAAAAATGTCTCTGATTGAGTAGGTAGCAACATTAAGTAAAAGTATAGGCGACATTAACTGTATCTACAATCTCTCTGGAAAGTGAGATTTGATCACAGTATATGGTACCTAGGAGTGGTGAGGGGAGGTCCGGGACGCCAAGAGGCGGCCGGATGCTCGAGCACTTCAACAGATGATAGCGACTGTTGCCCGTCGTGGCCACCGATCACGTACAGCGTGTCTGGAGGAGACGATTTGCAAATGATGCAGCGTTATAATTGAGATGTTAGAAGCATGCATAAATAGGATTACGGTAAGATGAAAATACTAACGTAAACCTAAAGCAAAGAAAGAAAAATTTTCTATGAAACACATTACTACACTTAGTAAACCATGAGTAGCGTGTGAGAGGACCTTATCTATTCTAAAGTGGTGAACAAAGGTTATCAGACAAGAGGAGCCAAGTACAACAGGACAGTAATGAAAGCGATGAAATGGCTGTAAAGAACACACCGGAGCTAGTCTGGGAGGTATAAGTACAAGACTACATCTACGGTAAAATTGAAACTAAAACCAGGAAATCTTAAAATTACTAGAAATCAAATCATAATTGAAAAGTCAATAAAAAATAGAGCTAATTCCATGAAAAGAATGACTATTGGAAACACTTGTAGAATGAATACGCCACGAATCTAAATGCAGTTGGAGAGTGCAAATCAGTAGATGACGTTATACGCCATATTCAGTCTTTTAGCACCGAACATGTTTGCTTTTTCAGTTTCCTTTCATAGAAATATGTAGCAATGACGTCATCCACTAACGGTGAGTCGATACAAAGACAAGGAGAAAGCGAATTCTAGTCACACATGAAATGAACAGAGGAGGATGTGCTGACACTAGACCTACCTCGAATAACAGCTACGGCACAACCTCGTCGAGCGGTTCGCATCTTTGCCAGCATTCGCCATTTGTTTGTTTTTGGATCGTATGCCTCAACAGAATCCATGCAATTCCACCTAAAAAGAGACCCTTTCACGCCGTTTTAGTATTTACACGGTTTTTTTTCCTAATTACTTCATTTAATAAATATGTTATTTATCAGCATCAAAAATTTAATACAACAAACCGATCGCATCCACCGCATGCTACAACCAAACCGCGCCAAGCGATTACTCCTGCTTGGAAACGTCCCAACTCCATGGAAGCGATAGGTTCCCAAACCTGAAAGGTGGAAATATTTTTGTCAACCAGGGTTTCTTTTTTTTTCGTGGGAGATTCGTATATACTACAATCGAAATTTATCAAATGATTTTCAAGACAACGCTATTCTTCAGAATTTTAGCATCATTGAAAACGTCAATAAAGAAAACAAACCTGTCGTGATTCGTCAAACCTCTCGCAATCTTTCAAAACTTGCTGATCCAGCGACCCTCCGACACAATATAGGAAACCGTCCAAAGCAGCGCATCCTTAAAATGCTACGGTATTTCTCGAAGAAAATAATAACGACCTAATCAAAGCTTCTAAAGGGATATGTACCGTTATGGCTTCTTGCTTTGTTAAGGGAAGGAATCGCGGTCCACTGATTGGTCTTAGGATTGTATACCTCGGCTGTTTTCAGATCATGGTTACCATTACTTCCAGCGACTGCGTAAACCTACAAAAATAGGAAAAATGGCAAAGATAAAAGCAAACTTGTCACAAAAGCATATAGTTAGTATCAGCTTTAACAGTACGTGACTGGTAACAAAGAAACATTTCCAACTTCTATGTATGAAAGATACTGAGAAATAGAATGGGCGAACAATATCACATACCTTTCCGTTGAGAACAGCACTGTCAAATCGGCCCCTCTCGTCATTCATGGATTGCAGTTGTCTCCACTCACCCCGAACGACGTCGTACTCCTCTACAGACCGTAAGCACTCTCCGCGGTCATAGCCACCTAACAGAAAAGGCTTATATTTAAGTATTCACAAGAAACTGACTAACATGCGATAAATTTTTATTTGAACGCTAGGCTTACCACAAACAATAATTTTGCCATTGAGGAACGAGGCACCAATTGAGCAGCGAGCTCCGTTCATGGTGGCAAGTGGCCTCCGTTGACTACCGGTACAAGAGATCAAGCGCGATAGTAGCAAATTCTTCTGGGGATCCATACCAGACCCACTGAATCAAGAAAAGTCAGAGTAGTCGAAGAGACAATTAAAAATACCGGTTCCACAACTTAAAAAACAGCGAAACGCCTACTTGGACTTGCTTTTCGTTATATCTTCGTCATCAGTTAACTGAATGCTGAGCACAACAAGGCGACGATACAGTACAGCTAGAGCGACCCAGTAGTCAGCTGAAGTTGAAGAGTTGCTTTATCATTTCTTACACCAAAATTCCGATGATCAGAAGCTTACCAGATGTTTGATGTGTTGCGATGAGACCAGTTTCGATAGTATCCTGAGGATCGCTCTCGGCCGAATCTAATGAGTTAAGGCTTTCTGTCGAAGAATACCGCACATTAGGTACACGGCTAGCATTCAGACGCACTGGAACTGCTCCAGTGACACGATGTTGCACGGGAGCTGTGAACGACGAATCCATGGAACCACTGAAAGTTTAAGTCTTTTATAGCATTAGGAATAAAAGTTATACCAATCATCACAATTTCGTAAATGTCAGCACCATCCTACAAAGCCAGAGACGATGACAGCAACCCCAGTAGTTTAGACAAAATGTTTGGTAACAGTTCAAAATCTTCCGAAACTGACGATAGGCCTGTTAAAAACTAAGACATATGACAGTCGCATGAACTGTTCTCATCATCAGACCTGGCTGCCCGATTCCAAAAACATATTTACTTCAGAAAAAACAACACTTATGATCAACTACTTTCTCCTTGGTTCTTTTCGAAAGAGCTAAAAGGATAACTCACTTGGTCATTGCTTTTGCCACTTCCTTGCCGCTCTTTTTATAATCCTGGATAATATCGCAACTTCCCACGGAAGATTTGTCGTCAATCTCGGCACAATCCGTTAATCTTTGATCGTCTTCCATATAAAGCAATGAAGTCTAAAGTACTGCGAACATGAAAGAACATCTTGAAGTATTACTGAGTAGACTACAAAACTATAAAATGTCCATGAAAAAGAACAAGTGTACATTTAAACCTCAGTAGAACATCAATTAATATGTAAGTTTACGAAAGCTTTCTTGAATGACATGCGCTTATACCGTATGCTAGGTAACTTATCAATTATTTGAAACAACGCAAAGTAGATTTTCGAGCAAAAACGGGAACGCGGAGGCCGTGGCAACCTCCATGTTTCATTGATAGGATTGCGTGCAACAAAAAAGTCTGCAAAGAATTCGACGAATGGAAAGTCTTCTCAAAAGCCTGCAGAAGTATTCTTCGTAAGTGATGTGGTTTCGCTTGTGTTAAACAGTTCAGCGCTGTAAATTAGGCTGCCGTTCAGACATTTGACCGAGTTTGGAACGAGAAAATTGAAAAATTTTCTATACAGCTACTCAACATTGAACCATACTTGAGCGTGCCAATGAACCCACCTTGTGTATGAGCTTTTCAATAGAGTGTTCCACTCTGTCGTGAGGTATACGATTGAAATAATCAAGAGCGCTTTGAGCAAGTAAGGCACCCTTTTCGAGGCTTGAAGGTCGACGCCCATCTTCCTTCGGTACGATTATGCGAGTCTTAATTTAGCTTGGAGTGTATATGACAGCTGTGATAAGATTTTGCAAAACGTTTTCGATGCCAGAAGCCGCAAAAGTATGACGCCAAATCACCGGGGAAAAAACGTCCAGTAATGACTCCCGAGAAGACGATAACAAATCAATGAATTACCTTAATACAAGGCAACTGAGTAAATTCCACGCTGTCGTTAACAATTTTCTCGAAGTTTTCTTGAATGAAAGCATCAACTTTGCTCAGCAGATACTTATCATCATTGAAATTTGCCTGCCGTCGAATCCCTGCAAAAATTAGATCTTAGAGAGGTCCTCGAATCAGAATATGATCAAATGTTACTCGTGCTGGAATTGAACCCACCTATACAATTCTTCAAATTGAGGTTGTCTGCAAGAAATTGAGCACATGCTTTGACCACTGGAGTCATTTGAAGAGCGAAAGCTGTTTTATAGAGTTCAGCAACCTTTTTTGAACTTATCTCCAAGCTGAAAATGGTTTGTTTCATAAAAATGAACCAAAATCAGGAACTTCTGAATGACACAAGCACAACTATCGGGGAGTTTCCACTGGCTCGGACTCTTTCCTGTTGGGAAATGCTAGGCCTTTACCCCTTTTATGAAGATGATCTCTAAAGTCTCACCACGCCGTATACGCGAAGTTGACGAGCGCCTCGAAGCATTCATAATCGGTCTGGGTAAAATCAAAATACGCCATGGGCTTCTTGGTCGATGGTGCAACAGTCAAGGTAGTAGTGAATTGTGGACCAGCTTCATGGCCGTTCTCTGTGGTTTCGTTAGGACTCGCTGAAATAATTAATGAATGCTCAACGAATTTATACAAAACTTTTGAACTGGAAAAGGACCTAGCAGAAGAAAAATTGATCATAAATGTTACATCTGCTTTCCTCTTCGTTGTCTTTCAAAAACATATCGAATAGTGCGGGCGACACGGCAGCCAGCACGACTTTATGAGCGAAAATTTCTTTTTCTCTAAACCGAAATTAAGAAGCAAAATTTTCGACCCGAAATAAATATAAGCTATTGATTACCTGACGAATAGGACGATGTCGCAAAGTTCTCTGTTGCATCGAAACGTGTTCAAGCGATTCAACAATTCGTCCTACAAAATTTCTTTCCAGTCACCGATGCATTCAAAATAAAAGTTTTTCCAATTTCTGAAAGAACTAGTCAAACCTTGATCGAGGCATCTTTGAGTACAAGCTGGTAGTCATCACGCTCATCAAGCGTATCATTACCCCACTTATCCGTTTCATCAGCTCTCATCGAGACGGCACATCGTGTTCGCTTTGGTACGAGTGTAAGGAGCTCACCCTGTAACAAGTTAGATATTATTCAAAAAACGCAGAGCAAAAGCTGACGTTAGATGCAGCTTTTAGCTAGGATTCCAGTGAAAATTTAACTGATCAATAAAATTGCTCAGTTTAGAAAGAGCATGTTCAGTGGGGCCCTGACCGCAAATATAGTCCTAGAATCAATCCCGAGTCGGAAACCTTCAATCCGACAAGTTTGTTTGATTGGGACGGACTCGCTCAAGCAGTCTTGTTCACTAATTAGGAAAAATGTGGTCGCGAGATCGGGACTGATTAATGCAGCCATTGATCGGGAGAAATTCTTCATCATCTCACTTTTTTGTCTATTCACTGTACCCGGTACATTACAACACTGTGCGAGTTCTGTTTGTCTGAGAAATCGAAAAAACTGCGCTACGGCTTGCAAACACAGAGAAATTGGTGCAAACCGGTCCGTGGAAGTCACATTTTGTCATTTTCCTGACTTTAGGTGCAAGTGTTTCTAATGGCACTCAATCGGAAATCAATGACAGTGGAGAGTACATAGCTCTATTTCTGACAAAGGCATTTTAGGTACACCAGTTAGAAGGTGCACAACATTCTGCAAAACTGCAGAGGATCAACGAACACATGAACATTTGTCAAGTTCCATAGCACTTGGCAGCAGCGGCTAAAAACGAGCTGCGTCTTTGCGATGCCGAAGTGACCAGGGAACACTCATGTTACCATGTTCGATAATGTTGTTATGCTAATGAGAGATTTGTCAGGTGGTGTTTTGTTATCAAGGAATAAATCTTCATCCAAATTGCTCTCCTAAAAAGTTCCTCTTTCGCAATCACTGGTTGTGATTTCACAAAATGGAAAATAAAAAGGACCCGTTATTTGGCTGGCTTCTTGCACAAATGCTACTTGTTGAATGAGGAATCTCTGAGGCAGTTATTTACAACTGTTCACGTGCAAAACATGCGTAAATAATTTAAAGACTTTTTGATGTTGACAGGGTATCGTCTGCTATCTGCCTTCTTTTTTTGCGTGTTTGAGATAATTGTCTGTCGATGGAAGCAAGATCACATGACGCGAGCGCAACCAGGCAATTGCATTCGAGATGTGGACACGCGCCGCCGCGTAATAAGCAACTCAATTCACCCTGAGCTACAACGCCCATCCAGGATGTCGTGCTTCCACCTGAATTGAATTTAAAGCAGCACTTTGCACAAATCTTGTCATTTGGCGTACATAACGTAAACATTCGCTTTACCAAAGGCAAATATTTTCCCCTATTTGAATCCTCCCCCCCCCCCCCCCCNACCCCTTTATTTCGAAAGCAGCTGCTCATGAAAGTAAACCGAGGAGAAACTAGCGAAGGAGAAATCCAACCTCAAAATAATGACAATTACAAGTTCCTCGAAATCACAGTTCGTTATAGAGGAAGCTTTGAATGTCTTGTTATGGATACCATTGAAAAGAAGAAATTCCAGTTATAGGAACCGATTATACCACAAAAATTTTTCAAAGGATAAGACATTTTCAGAACATCAAATAACTGTGAACCAACTTGTTCCAACCTTGAACATTGCAAACTTAACTTGCCAGCAGCAATTCCAAGGATATCTCTCAATATTGTCTCCGTTAACATCTTGGTATGAAAAGGAGAACAGCTCAAAAAGTCAATAAGGAACTGACGTACGCTTAGAAGCGATTCTCCTGCTCTTCCCCTTCCCTTCGCCAACTTTATTTACATAACCCTGCACCCTGCAGATGCTATATTTAAAGAGAATATCTACTGTAAACGAATGTACGCCATGACAACTGCTTACAACTTATCTGGCGTAAAGCAATCAAATGAGCAGCAGAAAAAAAAGCTCCCTCACTCTCTGGCAGCATAATACGCCAGTGTAATTCCCCTGGCATCGCACGACTAATGTTGCCATAGGTTACGAATGTATAAGTCAGCAAGGCAGATCACATATGTCTGAGTGTGTAGGAGGAAATGGAAGGAAAGAGCAAAAAAACGAAACTTACTTTTTTCGTCTGCTCCGCTTCCCTAGCACAGTTGGAGTTCGAGCCAGGAGCACTCCAAGACATCATATTTATCGACATGATCGATTGTGGAGCAAATTGCGGCGCAATAGAATCGCAGCACTAATGCAGAGATTCCTTGTCAAATATCAACGTCACTAGCACAACTCCTTTACTGCTCTGAAAGTAAATAATTAGAGCACGCGGAATCGATTTCCACTCGGAATCCGCGACTGAAGACGAATGAGTGGTGCACGTCAGAACGTAATCACAGAATAAACAGGTCTTAGAGCGAGATCACAGAAGATTGAGAAGATTCTCGAAAGGGCATTACTCATCAAATACCGAGTTATACGAGTTAGTAAGCAAAGGCTCAATCGAAATCGGGTGTTCTCCAAGAGTTGAAGAGGTTAATACTGTCAGGATTTCCGTATCAATTTCTCTTTCCCCTTTCCAATGTTCAAAATGGCACGCAATCGTGTTGCAGGGTGCATCGATAGCTAAAAATAACCTCTGAGAAACTGCCAAAAACAACCAAATACCAAGGGAAAGGAAATATATATAGAAAAACTTGTCGGTCTTTCGCTCCATACACAATGGTCCAGGAATCAAGTTCACAAAGGCTGTGATAAATAAAATTCACCGTTAGAAATTATGAAACATCACAGTCAACCATGCCAAAATCCGATTTTCATTGATATTTCCTTTCAAAAAATCTTAATCAAGATGTGAAGCCACATACACATTAAAGAATGGCATTAAAGAATCCATTCGAATATTTTAAAGAATGGCATTGCCATAAATGTGTTTTCAGAGCAGATTACGGAAATTGCATACTATTCACACATCACGAACCTTCTGAAACCGCGAATGCAGTGGGACCTCAGGAGGAGCTCAACGAGTAGAAAAAGAAGCACAATTGAATTTCTGAGATGAACGAAAAAGATTTTCAGAAACCATATTTGAATGTCAGCAAATATGACTTCTCGTGGAGCAATGGGAGAGAGAAGAGACAGAGAATTTCAAAGAATTCATGAAAAATCCATCACAGGAACAATTTGAACCATATGTCCCTGTCGTTCAGACCCCTCTACCATATGTTTACTTCAAAACTTTTCGAAAACAAACAAATCCTGAAGGCTGTGGAGGCAACATTTGCTAGATGAATGCGAAATACCAGTCCTGAACGTGGACATCACGCCACTTGAGCAAAAAGAGATGGCTTCATTAAGAAAGCAAAAATCACGAACAAAATGAAGATACATTTTTTAGGCAGGCAATCGGAAGCCTCAGGCACCCTCTTCTTCATTAACATTTTCGAAAATCCACTTCGAAGAACAAAGTAACGTAAAACTCTAGATAAACTCAACGATAAAGAAAAAAAAAGTTCATGAAGGAGTTGACAACAAGTAGAGGGTGTCTTATAAGCAGCTAGGTAGGTATACCAGCTTGATTAGTTATCATCGTGTAAGAACTGATATGAGAGCAACGGCCGATCTGCGTCAGAAATGGACGCGGCGGCCGTTGCGGGGCGGAGCCGGGGCGGCGCCAGTTCAGAGATCTCTCCGCCTCCAACACTTCCCCACCCTTTTCCGAACGGACGGCCAACGTTCGATCCAAGTCACCACCCAGCACCAGCATCTCTAACTATGTGATGTTATTTTGTTTTATTGATCAGCAAGGCCTCCGACCATGAAAACGGGCTGAGGCACGATAGCGATCGTTTTTTGTGCCCATTTCCCCACCGTAATTATAGTCGTCGTAAAATTATTACTGGAATTACGACGTTTCACAGAATGAGGTGATTGTCCAACGACTACTACGTGTTAATTTACGACCGATAATAAAACTGGATAACTTGACTATGCTCTGCATCTCTAACGTTAAATGTTAGAGCCAAACAAGGACAGGATGCCAGCTTCAGGAGTATGTACTGGTCCCTGAAAAGATTCTATTTGGTGTGGGGATTCTTAGTCCGAGTACAAGGCTGGGATGAGCAAGGGCAAACAGGATGCTGATCTCGAGCAAAAAGTTAGAATGGAAGAGGAGTTGGCGTAAAGGAAACTTCAGCTGAGGTAGCGCAGAGTAAGACGCGGGAACGAGTGGACCTCTCCCCTCTTTATTATTGTCAAACTCAACCGATCGTCCTTATCATCGGGGTAAGGGCCACCTAGTGGCGAAGGGTAGTATGAGTGCAACAAATGGGAACGGAGATTGAAATTGGGAGCATCAAGTGACTGGTGAATCCCCTGCCACATGTGGTCGTCATTTTGGAGTGAATGCATTTGAGAATAGATTTTTTAATCAAGAATTTTTTAATGAAGAAATATTCCTTGACCAGCGATTGAGTAGACCTACAAGATATTTTAAGGCGTAATCAACTCGTAGTAAAGGTGAAATGTAAAAGACAGAAAGAAGAAAGGATATTGAGAATAGAAAGGATATGGGGTGGGTGAGGTGGCCTCGGTGATAAGGGTAGAATGCTGAAATCATCAAAAACCGACCTTCCAGTATCAAAACGGGTCATACCCAAGGAAGGAATTAGACTATGGATTGAGTGCCGGCCGTCATAAATCGCTTGTGAGGTACCTATGGAAGGATGGGGCTACATCTTACAACATCAAAACACGCACAAACAAAAAGTATAAACAAAATGCACTAAGATTTCCTGGGAAACTCTCTCTACCTGATTAAAAAAAGATAATATGCAAAGGGTCCTTACAAGCTGTGGGAGACTTTCAAGTGGGAACTAAATATCATGTGAGGGCCCCACTTACAGAAAGGGACCTAAAGTCTGGTTTTCTCCTACATGCACACTCCTAGATGAAAACAGCTGTTCAGGATTGATTAAGGCATAGAGGAACAGGCTTCTAACAAACATTTTTCATCCCGGGGAACGTTTGTTCTGAAGCAATGAAAGGCAAAAGGGTACAGCTGTTTTCACTTTACATTCAGTCATGGGCAGGATGGGCAGGGTTTAAAGAATGGGAAAATCGATCGAAATTGTGCAGTAATTCCCACTGAATTCAAGATTTCGGGCGAATTACCCCTTAGCTGCGGGCATCGCTTGGGTGAGAGCAAGGTATAGGGTACAAGTGCCCCGCCGAATTGGCGAAGAAATGTTTACTTGACCACACCGCACATGCACGTGACTGCAAGACCAAAGATATGCGTTTCCAATCCCATAAACACCAGCCCGTTCTCCCTCCCTGGAAAGACAACAACCAGTCCGGGACTAAAAATGTTTCTCAAAATAAAGTTTTTAAACGCTTCATGCTGACCACTTAATTGCACCGAAATCCAGCATGCGGCTTGAGATTTCCTGAATCCCCTGACGTTTCAAGAAATGAGGCTCGCCCCTTGGCAAGGTCTCCCTCATGGCACCTGTAACAACACGACAAGTCCCTTACCATCCTAAGCCGTCGTCAGTCGTCGCTGTCGCAGAATAGGAGAAAGTGAAGGGAAGAAGATCCAAGCAAAATGAAAAGGATGTATTGAGACCCATTTCTTCTGAGTAAGGTGGGGTACAAGAGGGAGGAAGAGTGAAAGAAGGGTCGTGGCATCGAAGAGTAGTCTTTTTGGAACCCTGCCTGCCTCTGCCTTCACACGCAGTTGCTCCTACGTCATCAGCAGCAAGCCTCTGAAGGATTAATGTATGCAAAATGAAAATCCGAAGCCGTAAGCCTAACTGCATCACAAAAACAAAGTTATTGAAGCCAGCCTGGAAAATTCTGCAAGAAACTGAAATCTCCCGTCATAACAGGATTCTTTGGGGCATCTCACAAATTCTTGAAATCGACTTAGTTTTTTAGAACTTTCCAGTATGTTTGCATCTTTAAAGGAGAGCCATGAGATGCCGAGACGCACAGCTCTGTAGGATCTCAACGACAGAGACGCAGAGGACACGAGAATTTCTTGTCAGTCTTCTGCGTCTCTGCCTCACGTCTCGTTCAGTCAAAAGGAGGTTTGGTACTTACTCTTACCTGCTGGGTGCAGTAGTATCAAACCCCTCCTAATCACTGCCCCACGTTTACCCTTCACATTCCCTCATGGGCCTCTATGCGTTCAGCCTTATCATCGTCTGAGGTCTTAGGAATCGCATCGCATAGCTAATCTTTATCTGGAGCGTTTGTCCTAGTCGGACAGACCTTGAAACGGGCCAATGTTTACCTCGATGGATGGTCTTGAGAGAAAACCGCGACGAAGGGGAGACTGGGAAAAACGAAATCCAGAGATTCCGTAAATTCTGATAAAACAAGTATTCAAATCAACAAGAAAAAAAAACAAAAAAATAAACGCCAGTACACCATACATAAATATACAGACAGATAAACATACATTTACACACACATACATACATACGTATGCATATGCTCTGCGAACTACATGTAGCAGTATGCTTTCCGCTCATATTTCAGCTTTGACCCCCCAGAACATTCTTAATCTGAACGCCTTTCCCATTTGGGTCCGCCGAAAAAACTCATGAATCATTGCGAGCTCTCACCGGAAGTTTGCAGAAGCCGCAAATAAAGAGCACATGATGATTTCGTCAATGGCTTTCGTTTTCTGATTTCTCCGGAAAAAAGAGGTTCTCGATGAAACATACCACTTATTTATTTAATGTTTGTTGATGATATGGCCCAAGGTTTTTGGGGAAGGGCATGTGTCATCATGCATTCCAGCCATCCCGGTGTTGTGTAGATCTTCAATACATACTATTATAGTACGCTAGGGAAATGGCAAACCTTAACTCAGGTCATTTTTATTTCGAGATTTTCAAAAATAATTAATCAAGAAAAGGAAAAACACACTTCACACACTTGAATAGGTGGGTTGCCATCTCCCTATCCAAATGCGTTGAAGATTACAGGACAAATTTGTTCAGCACAAATAGGAGATGAACTGACCCAAAAAGCCAGCAGACCAGCACCACCCATATTCAACCGGAACTGAAGAATTAGTTTTCAAAAATGGGATAAAAGTTGGGTGAAAAAAGTATACAGAGAGAAAAGTAGTAGTCTTGAATTATCAAAATCTCAAAATTCCTCAAGCGTCGTGACAAATCTTCACATAAGCTACAC